TCTCCCTCTCCCTGTCTACCTCTCATTCCATCTTGGGGCCATTTATATCCCAAAAGATAGAAAGAGAAAGACATCTAATGACAGAAAGGCATAATATAGAAATTGAATAAGTTTTATGCTCCTGTTTCTTAACTTTTAAAATTATTGAGTTGAGCCATTTTCTGCTGTTTACAAGTATCCTTCTCTCACTCCCCTGCCAATCAAAGTTGTACATCAATAGATAAAGGTGTGTTTTATATGTGTAGTTCTTTGGTTTTCCTTTAGGTCAATAGCCAAGGACTGAGGAGAGGGGAAGACTTGCCCTCAGTCCCACAGGAGCAGTCTGGTTAAGCTAATCTTCCTCTGAAATACTTGTGAAGATAACCCTGAAGCAGTAGTGCCAGTCTCAACAGAGCGCCTGTGGAAATTTAGATGTTCATATATTGGGCTTGTTGACAATAACTCAATAGGAACCCTCTCTACCTGGAGGTTCATGACAACAAGTTGCAGATTTACGTTTCTTGTTTAAATTAAGTAAAATGTCGCAGATTTCAGAACAGTGGCAGTCATTCTCCTAATTATCCGGTGTGTATGACAGCCAAAGCCAGAATCCACCTTAACACAGGAAAAGAGAGAAAGGAGGGTGTGGTAGCTTCGGGTGACAGCAGGGTGGTGCTTACCTGTGATCATGCTCAGTGCTGACAGGCATGCTAAGGCTTGGATATCAAGGTTCAGGCTCTGCAAACTTAAGGAAAAGTCTTTAATGGAGTCGAGCCACTCCCCAAATCCACGAAGGCACTGAAGTCGGTGCAGGACAAGTCCATTGCAGAACACAAACTTATCTTCAGCAGTGTTTGACCTACAAAAGAAAGTCATGGGGGGTTGCGGGGTAGAAACACATTAAATAGGTCTGTTCAGTCTATCCAATGGGATAATATCATAACACACGGCACCCAGACAGTGTTCAGAACCCAGTGTGGTGCTGTTAAACCTGCCCAAACACCCTTGATGAACACCCACCACCACTTGTCTGTGCTAACTTCCTGAGTGAGCACCAATCCCTGGGGAAGCTGCCAGTCCCTGTTGTGGGCTCACCTGCTTTCCACAGTGGGGCTCAGAGGGCTATTTCTAAATCTGTCCTGAGAGTGTATATCAGTCCATAAGTATCCCATACTTCTCTCATGAAAGGTGCCCTGGAACTTCTAGTTGGACATCACCACTCAGCTGGGGGGGCTTTGGGCGCTTCCTTACTCTCTCTGGGTTTCCTATTCCTTATGTATAAACAGGAGTTCTAATGGCTACCTTCTAAGATTGTTGTGGGAATTAATAATATACAGGATCTGAAATCATGCACAATGCCTGGTATGCAAGACGAGTCTTAGGTGTAATTAATTCTGAATTCTATGTGGTCCTATCTTTAATCTTAGCCTTCCTTTAATTTTCAAATTGCTTTCCACATATTTTATCTCTTTCAGCCTACTGCACTAACAAGTTAATATCTACAACTGTGCCTCTTGGATGCATAGTTTCATTCATTCATTCACTAGTCAATATTTCCTGAGCACCACGTATGTGCCACTCCTAGAGCCAGGCACTGGCGGAAACTTGGTGACTAGAGCATGCATATTGCTTGCCCACATGGAGCTAATCATTTACTTAATCCTATGCTGCCTGCCTAACAGATGATAGTCACATCCTTGGCTTGGCTCCTTCGTACAGTAGATTAGCTGTAATGATGCCAATTACTGGCACTCCAGTTGTAATTCCCCCTGTCTCTCCCACAGATCCCTCCACAGAGGTACACAAGGACCGACCTCTCAATCTCAGAGTTTAAAACCTGGACCTCAGACCACTGGCATCAGAGTCACTGGAGCATGAGTTAAAATGCAGATTTGTGGACTTCTAAGACAAACCAATACAGCTGGGAATGAGGCATGGGAATCTGCACTTTGAACAAGAATTTCTGCTAACACCATATGAAATTGGAGGGGAGGGTAAGGAAGAGAATGAGGGGGATATTTGGTGAAATGTTGGTACCATCTCCAAAAATTACATAATGGCAAGGAAGAAAGGAATCTGAAATGTTACTCATGCTGAGATTCCAGGTCCCGGCTTTTTTGGGAAAGAACTTCCGTTTGTGTTCAGTGTCACTGAGCATGAAAGGTTGAACCAAATCTTTTGATCTAGGAGCTATTCTCTTGGAGTAAACACTGGGGGTTGAGAAGCAGTGGGAACTCTCTAGAGCCCCATCTGGTGTACTAGAACAGTGACTTGTAAATAGAAACCCGTGAGGTAAAAGCAATGTTCTCAACAAATACGTGCTCCCAGGAAATACCTTTCTCACCATGGGACTCTATAGAATCCCAGAGTGTTGGCATTACAAGGAGCTTCAGATATCACCAAACCCAACCTCCTCATTTTACAAAGAAGGAACCTGAACTTCCGATGAGGCAAGGGATCTGCTCAGGGTCGTACAGCAAATCCATATTAGAACTGAGGGCAGAACCCAGGAGCCCTGGCTTCCAGTCCAATGCACTACCCACTACTCAGCTTTTTAATGCCTGATCATATTTGATATTTCCTTCCTGAACAACCTTCTCTTTGATGACTCATTTGCAAACACAGCAGGTTTCAAAGTTCTTCAAAGGAAGGAGTGGACTGAAGGTAGATAAAATAATAGTAATTACCTGATGGAAAGTCTGAGAACAAACAGCTCCAAAAAGGCTGATTCTATAAGTAATGTCTGATCTTCTTTGGGGAGATCAGTAAATCCGGGGATCTTTTCTGCCCAGCTTCTGGATACGTCAATGGAAGCTGTCAGAAGGTTGTAGAACTGTTGTACGTGCTCAGCATCTGTGCCTGCAGCGGCCTGGTCAGAGGGACAGTACTAGAATGCAAACCACAGGCAGCGGTGTTATTTCAGTTCAACGGGGATGACAGCATCATTTGCAAATGGGCTCCCCCACGGCTGTCTAGGCCTGAATCCTTACTCTCAGGTCCCACAGTTGATATAACCCTTTGCATTCACAGTCTCATCTGATTCTCACAGTGGCCTCATGATATATAGAGTGAAGGTTGTTACCATTTAATAGACAAAAGAAATTTGCTGAAGTCCCATCAGTGCAGTGGTTTTCAGTCCTGACTGCAATCATCTGGGGAGCTTTAAAAAACACTCATGTCTGGGTCATTGCCACAGAGATTCTAATTTAACTGGCCTGGGTTGAGGACTGGTCATTGGTGATTCCCAAGGGCAGCCAGTGTTGAGAACCAATATCTCAGGGGTTTGTGTCTGAGTGAACCTCCAGCATCTACTGACTCCACTAAAGTACAGCTGCCTCCAAACAGGATGCTTAATTAACCCATGGTTCTCAAAGCGTGGTCCCTGCAACAGCAGCATCAGCAACACCAGGCAATGTGCCAGACAGAACTAAGGAAGAGGAGAAGAGAATGATTTTCGCTTGCTGTAGATAGATTTCTGTGAGAGGAGACAAACCAGGAAGAGGAGCAGGGAGGGTGTCTCTGTGGCAGGGCCCAGGCGGCCGTGTGCCATCAGACTCAGGACTGTGGCTAGTTAAATTAATGAAGTTAAAATAAAAATTCAGTTCCTCCGTCACACCAGTCACTTTTCAAGCTCAACAGCTACATGTGATGGAGAACATTTCCATCACTGCCGAACATTCTATTGAACAGAATTGATCTAGAAAGTCCCAGGAGAAGAAAGATACAAGTAGGAATAAAGTCTCTACCCAACTTTTGGATATTCTGGTAGACTCAGGGTTTTGCCTGAATCACCGGAAGACAATCTTTCCTACTTCAGGCAAAAAGATTGATACAGCAAGGTAATCATCAAGGGACAATGAACAGCACAGACAGATCTGCAAAACACGCATGTAAATATGCACATCATTTCCTTCGCACTAAGAGCTGCGGGTGCTTTTGCATCCCTTCTCTAGGTTAATCCTCCTGGGGTATGGATTTTAATTCTCCTTTTACAAATGAGGAAACTGAGGCCCAGAGAAGCTCACAGAGTCTGAGAGTTTCCAACAGTGGCATGTATAGCCAAGACTTCCACGTGGCCTTGTGGTTTGCTGTCCCAGCTGTTAATATGTCTGATGTTACTAGCTGGTAGCCCATGGTATAGTTTTAAGAAAGCATGTTATTTTGCTCTAATTGGAGGTCTCCAGGTATGCATTCATTTGGTCCCATGTTTTGTCAGCAGCACAGTGACTGGCACCTGATTGACTCTCAATCAGTAGTTGTTGAATACTCTTCGATGAAAGAAGAGTCAAGGGAGCGCCTAGACTTGCCACAATGCCCTAACCTGGCTGGAGGAGAATCAGCCAATAAGCAGCCAGGTCCGTATTGTAGAACTACTTAGGTATGAGGAAATGAGGCACTTGTCTTAATTGGGCTTCCCCCACCCCACCACCCCACACACCCTTTTGTGCTTTCCCAAGAGGCATCATGGAGTAACAAAAGAAACATCGGACAAGGAGCCGAACTACTTTAATCCTTGATTTGTCCAGGCCCCTTATTTGTGAAACAGTGTAGCTTTGCTGCTTACTTTAGTTATCTGGGGCAAATGACTTCACTTTTCTGAGCTTCAGTTTTCCCCTCCGTAAAACGGGGACAATGCCTTCCTCAATATTTTGTTGTCATGATCAAATGTGATAATATATGTGAAAGGCCTGACACACGGAACACGTTTCACAAACGATGACAGTGATGCTGCTGATAACGGTTATGATGCTTGAAACTCTCACTGTCCCTCAGCCTCCACATTTATGAAATGGGAGAAGGTTCCTCCTTTTCAGCCCTGACTATCTAGGATCCTGTAACATCAGGTCCAGTTCAGAGCCCTGGATCACCCCACTCAGTGCACAGACTCTATGAAGCCATGGATGTTTCTGTAATGGGTTCAATGAACCACGGGAGAAAGAACCAGCCTTCCTTCCTATGGATGGTCAAGGATGGCAGCCCGATCCTGGTCCCGGATACTTCCTATCACCTCCCTTCAGTTCACACTCTCTATATTCACTGCAGGGAGTGGGAAAGGGGATTTTATTTTACTTTCTTACTTTCTCCTCTGATATTAACCTAATTCCACATGCTCTCCAAGGGCAGGATGAAAATCAGGGCAGGACCACCGTTAGAAAGCTGACAGCACTACATGTGAAACTCCCGAACGAGTGATAACATGGAGCAGAGGCAGCAGATCATGGGGTCCTCCTCCAGGCTCAGGCACTGACTTGCTGTGCAGCCCTAGACAAATCACTTCACTTCTCTGGGCCTGTTTCTGCCTCTGAAGTAGGAAGTGACTGCCCTCGCTGACCCCTAAGATTCCTTCTGCCTCTTGCATGCAGCCATTTTTCTATTGCTGATTTCTAGTTTAATTCCGTTGTGGCTTGACGGCAGACATTGTGTGATTTATTTTCTTTCTTTTTTATTGTTAAGGTGTTTTATGGCCCAGACTATCAGCAACCCTGGTGAATGCTCCATGTGCTGGCTCTTGCATTCAATGATTCCAAATGCAGCTAATCACACAGGTATGAAGTTATTGCCTAGAATTATTTTTTTTCTTTATTGATTAAGGCGGCGGTTCTCAACCTGTGGGTCGTGACCCCTTTGGCGGTCGAACGACCCTTTCACAGGGGTCACCTAAGACCATCCCGCATATCAGATATTTACATTACGACGCATAACAGTAGCAACATTACAGTTATGAAGTAGCAACGAAAATAATTTTATGGTTGGGTCACAACATGAGAAACTGTATTTAAAGGGCCAGAAGGTTGAGAACCACTGGCTTAAGGTATTACATATGTGTCCTTATCCCTTCATTGCCCCTCTACTCCCCCACCCCTGCCCTCAACCCCTGGTGTCTGTGTCCATTGGTTAGACTTATATGTATTGTCTAGAATTTGACCTTGATTCAGCATTGTTTTGTTTTAAAACAGTGAGTAAAATGGAGAGAAAAAGACTAAAGAATGCAAACTTTTTCCTGGGCATGGGACCTAACAGCTCCCCCTTGCACTGACTTCCCTGAAACAATGGCTCACAACTCAATAATCTCTGTGCTTCCAATATTTGCTCACCATCCTCCAGAGCACTTAGCTTTCACCCAGGGTCCCCTGCAGGCCTCTGCCCCTGCTGGGCTCACATTTCACGCATCCTGCACACAGGGAAATGCAGCCCCTGCCTGCCCTGCGTGTGCAGTTTTCCCTGATGAGGCCCAGCAAGCAGAAAAGCCAGCAGGCCTGGCATGCCAGGCTCCAGCCAGACCCTCTGGGCTTCACCTGCGGTGATTCTAGTCCAGTATTCTGGAGCCAAACTGGACTCAGGCTGGGCCACCAGTAACTTGGGGGTGAATGGAGGGTCAGCATCCAATGCTGAGGGAAAAGACAAACCAAGTATCCCCTCTACTGAATGTAAGACTTAGAGGAACATAACAAAACATTGTAGATTTTTTTCTCTGCCTGGCCTAGCACTTTATAAAAACCTCACCAAGGAATACTGGACCTGGAGTTGGAAGAACCAGATCCCCATTTCTGCTTGTGTGCTCCCCTGCATTACTCTCTCAGGGTCAAGCAGGTCTGGGGGTCACCAAAGGAAATTCAGAAATATTTGTTTAGTGATAAAACATAGGTCAAATAGAGAAAGACTTTAGAAATGAATCTTAACTTTTTATTCTAGTCTATATGGATAATTGACCCATCAAAAATCTTTAGCTGTAGCCAGTTTGGCTCTGGATCGAGTGGCCGGGTTTGATTCCTGCCAAGGGCACATGCCTGGGTTGCAGGCTCCATCCCCAGTGGGGGGCGTGGCATGCAGGAGGCAGCCAATCAATGATTCTCTCTCATCATTGATGTTTCCATCTCTCTCTCCCTCTCCCTTTTTGAAATCAATAAAAAACTATTTTTAAAAATCAGGCTTTACAACTAGTCAAAGATACAGTATTACATTTACTGGCATCTAATGGTGATTTCACTAAAGCACCTGGAATGAGAGTCTAGAGCTACAAACAACAATGAAAGCTATTTAAACTGAAATGAGTCTGCACATTTTATATGGCAATAATGTGGCTACACAGGTCAGATGTGAGGCAGAGCCTAGACTTAAAATGAATTATTTGAATGGGAGCACCAGCCCTAAAAAAATTAGCAAGATGATGCTGTCATAGCAATGTGGAATCTGGCATTTACTCTATCTCACTTATCAGTCCAGGCTAAACATATAAAATATCCTAAGAGCATTTCATCTCCCCTTACAATGTTACTTTTCCCTGGGTCTTTATATATTTTAGATGTGATCACTCTAGAAGCCAAACTATATATACATATTCTTAGGTTCTTACACTTTAAAAATGGGCAGTGAATATATTCCCCCCCCATATTTATTCCTTTCTTATCTATTTAACTCCCCTTAAAACAAAACCAGAAACAAATAAACTGTCTTCCCTGCCCCCCCACCCTCCCACCCCGCACCGCCATGGCATCACAGTTATTTGGTTACTTTCTCTTTCCTTCATGAAGGTAGGAGCATTTTTTTTGTTTTTTGTTTTTTTTTAATCCTCACCTGAGGAGTGAGGGTATTTTTTCCATTGCTTTTCAGATGGAAGGGAGGAAGGAGAGAGAGAGAGGGAGAGAGAAGAGAAACATCGATGTCAGAGAGACACATCGATTGGTTGCCTAGCACACACACACCCCTGGACTAGGGGTGGGGATCAAACCTGCAACCTAGGTATGTGCCCTTGACTTGGAATAGAACCTGTGACCCTCTGGTGTGCAGGCTGATGCTCTTACCACTGAGCAATTCTGGCCAGGGCAGGGGTGTTTCTTTCTTTCTTTTTCTTTTCTTTTCTTTTTTTTTTATTAATCCTCATCTGAG